CTTTCGACACTAACTTATGATGTTCGAAGTCAAGGTAGAGGTTAATCTTTGGGGAGGGTAATGACTGGAAGGAGACACAAAAGAGCTTCTAGGGTGCTGGGAATGTTCTGTTTCTTGAGCTGGGTCCCAGTTACATGAGTGTTTTCACTTGTGAAAATTTATGGATCCACAAAAATATGTGCAGTATTTCATATGTATGTTATACTTCAATAAAAATTTGGCAAGGAGGCCTCATATAAACTAGGGGTTAGAAGACCTTCCCAACCAAAGTTGGAAATCTAGGAGATCAAAAAGATAGACATTTTTGCATAAAGATATTTTAAAAGCATGTTTATGACCAAAGATACTGTAAGCAATGTCGAGAGCAAACACTAGATTTGGAAAAAATATGTGTAATACAGCTGATAGTCAAAGCTGTAATATGGAAAGAGCTTTTACCCCTTGATAAGATAACCCAATGGAGAAATAAACAAAATGATAGTAAATGCAAGTCAGAGAAGAAAATTATCCAACTCTATGGAAAGATGCTTAAATTCATTAGAATTCTGGGTAATGTAAATTAAAGTAGTAAAAAGATATCAGTTTGCACCTTTCAGGCTGGCACAATTAAAAAGGGCTTCTACACCTATTGCATATGGGGGAAAAGTGTGCACTTAATCATTGCTGGTGGAGGGGGGCGGCGGTGGTGGTGGGATGAATTGGGAGATTGGGATTGACATATAAACACTAATATGTATAAAATAGATAACTAATAAGAACCTGCTGTATAAAAAATAAATAAAATTAAATTGAAAAAATCATTGCTGGTGGAGATATAAATTATTACCGCCTTCTTGGAAATCAATCTGGAAAAATCCATTAAAGTTAAAAATACATATGCCCTTTGACCTAGTAATCCCACTCCAGGGAATCTATTCCAGAGAAATGAAAGCCTTCACCTAAGGGCCCATGTACAAGGGTGTTTTATTGCAGCTTTGATCGTAGAGGTGCATGCACGATGCCTGTGTGTGTGGAGACACACACACACACACACACACACACACACCCTGGGAACAAAGCAAATGCCTCTCAGCAGAGAGATGGTGTAAATGACAGTGCTTTCTCTCAGGGCTCACGGTCCAGAGGCCCCGGGGTAAACTGTGATCTTTTCTGTCCATAGGAGATCTCCACCTCTAGTGTGGGGCAGGGTGGACAGTTGTGGATGTTTGGAAGCTCACTTCCTCCTGTCCTTAACCAGCAGCATTGATTCCAGAGCAGGGCTTGGAGGAGTGACCATCTAGAACAGAGGCATCCTCTCTCAGCAGGACTCAGATCCTGTCCCTCCAGGATCAAAGAAGGGACACCCACAAAGGAGGATCACGGAGGTGGCTCTTACAGACATCCACTGTCAGTCACACCTACAGTGACTTTCTTTTTTTTTTTTTTATTTTTTTTTATTTTTTTATTTTTTTAAACATCTTTATTGGGGTATAATTGCTTTACAATTGTGTGTTAGTTTCTGCTTTATAACAAAGTGAATCAGTTATACATATACATATGTTCCCATATGTCTTCCCTCTTGCGTCTCCCCCCCTCCCACTCTCCCTATCCCACCCCTCTAGGCTGTCACAAAGCACCGAGCTAATATCCCTGTGCCTTGCGGCTGCTTCCCCCTAGCTATCTACCTTACTACGTTTGTTAGTGTGTATATGTCCGTGACTCTCTCTCGCCCTGTCAAAGCTCACCCTTCCCCCTCCCCATATCCTCAAGTCCGTTCTCCAGTAGGTCTGCGTCTTTATTCCTGTCTTACCCCTAGGTTCTTCATGACATTTTTTTCCCCCTTAAATTCCATATATATGCGTTAGCATACGGTATTTGTCTTTTTCTTTCTGACTTACTTCACTCTGTATGACAGACTCTAGGTCTATCCATCTCATTACAAATAGCTCAATACAGTGACTTTCTTAAGCCAAAGTCAGACAAAAATCTCTACTAACTGAAGAATAAATGAGACATGAGATCAGTTGCAAATAATTATTATCTAAAAGCCATGTTTCCCTTTGGATATTTGTGTTCAAGTCATGTCTCCATCCACCTGATGCTCCCTCTCTTAAGTGAAGTAAAGAGTGCAGTGAACTCACTACCCTCCAGTCAACTGCTGGGCAGCTCTAGCCTAGCTCAGGAAGACAGCTCTAAGCAGGTCTATATACTAAATGGAGGCCCATGTAGTACATGGGTAAATATTTAAAATTATAAACAAAGCCAATAAACTATTAGGTAAAAAATTCTATCCCCCTATCTTGAAAAATATACCTTCATAAGATCAAAAAAAATTATTTACCGTGTAACAGTGTAACACTGTGGTTTTTATAGGAATGAAAGTTGGCAAGCCAGTTAAGATAACAGAATTTAATTATTTTTGCACATATTTGGACATTCTGTGGACTGGCTGGTGATGTTTAGATAAGTAATAAGATCAACATCTACATAAATCATAAACTGTTGTGTATCTTTTCATTAACTTTATTTTTCTTGCTTTCCTTATTGCAATATTACTTAATTACCTTGATTACTTAATTATCAAAAATCAAGATTTTTGCACAATTTATGTTCTATTGAAAATGATGATAAATTAGACTATCTTTTTTGAATCAATGTAATTCTTAGATAATTAAAAAAATTCATTTTGATTTGGAGAAAGTTTCAATAATAAGTGAGATTGTCATCAAAATTTTTAAAACCATATTTAAATTTGCAAGTGAACCACGAATTGTACACATTCTGTTCAAATATTTTAACGGAGTTAAGATAAGTTATCATTATTACAGAAAATACTACAAAATATTTAATTTTCACAATATAAATTTCTACCTCTTACACTGTAAATTTCACCATCTCTTAAAGTAATATCTAGATTCATGCAGTGATGGGAAGAATTAGTGTCATGTATCTATACTTAACATATATATGGTTTTAGAGGTAAAATAAAGTGTGAACACTGCAAAATGTTCCTCAGCCACCATGTGAAACTGTCAGTACCACACCATTTCATGAGTATCCCCTGGACCACGAACTGGAGCACAAAGAAAAGCATGAAAATGGATGTATGGCCTTCCTGGGAAATGGCGCTTCACCCTGCGAGAAACTACTGCATTCATGCTATCTGAGAAAAAGGATTGACAAGTTAATTAATTTGTCTTTTTTTTTTTTTTTTCTTACCTAAGTGCTTCTGCCACTCAAATCTTCCTCTTACTCTGAAGCAGTGTCTGTCTCCGATGTGGGTAGACGCACAGCCAAGAAACCTTTGGGACATTCAGACACAGTTGTTTTCTGTGTCTAGGGCATAGGGCAGTGGTGTTTCCTGGGGCCTGAACCGTGTTACCTGCATACCTGCGCTATGCCTGTGCTGAGCACCAGATCCCAAGTGCTCCTTAATCAATTTATTTTGTGTGTATTTGTGATGTGTAGGATCTTCTAAAGCAGGGCTTTGCAAATTTTCTGTGGTGCAGGATTGGTTTTTAACTTTCCAATCCAATCCAAACCAATTCTTTTGTAAAAATCCAATAAAAATAAATCACTAGAAAAATGAAATTTAAAAAATCCATACAAAATACAAGGCTAAAATTTTACAGATTCAACAGACATGAAATTAGTCTCGGTTTTTGTGTGAACTCATCAAGAACCAGTAATAGACTGTTTGTGGACTGGCACTGGTCCACGGACCACACTACTCAGAAAGTCAAGAGACCCTGGGTAGGGTTTACTCTTGCCTCTGTCTAAGGGTGGCACCAGAAACCAGCAGGATGGGTCCTACCCCTCAGTCTTTTTCAGTCTCTGGTTGAGCTTTACCCTATGTCATGCGGATCTCATTTCAGGCCACCAAGACCTCTATTCTCTCAATGTCCTGACATAGGTGCAGACCCCTAAGTTCCCATCATTTCCACACACCTCTGCAGCTCCTGCTTCTCCCTGAGTCACCCCACATCTGTGTACAATGAGGGGGCCTTGAGTGTCATGCCTGGAGAGGAGGCTTCTGAGCCAAGGACCACACCGAGAGTGTGATGTTGCCTTCAACACAGCCAGGACCTCTCCTGGGTCTGATGGTCAGCTCCACACATTGTTGGGATAGGGGGTCAGGCTCAAGAGGGCTTCTTTGTCCCTTGGACTCAGGGAATGTGGCTAATTCTGTGGCAGGGCCAGAGGGCAGGTGCATTTCTAGAGCTGAGAGTAAACTATTTACCTGTCTTTACTCTTAGGGGCTGATGCTAAAATCTGAGACTGAATTGCTTCAGTTGTTGTGTCTGCTGGAGGACTTGGGACCCTACATCCAGGGCAAATGGTCACGCCTGCTGTAGGAAGCAGGAGATGTTTGCATCTGAGGTGTTTACGAAGATGAGACCAGAAAGCCTATGGTCAGTCCCCAGACAGGCAGCTGGTGAAAGAAGGCCACGAGAGCTGGTCAGAGCTGATGCCCCCCTATGTTGGGGAGAGCAAACGGGAGAGAAAGAAGATTCCCAGGATGCTTTCCGTTTTCTTAGTGGAGGTAGGAACTTCCATTTCGCCTGGGGTCGGCAGTAATTCCAGAGCTCACAACCTGCTTCCAGAAATCCCACATGGGACAGACACATGCCTCTAAAATCATCCACATATTTTTTTATCCCCACATATTTTTTATGACCCAATTCAAATTTTCTATGCTTGTCACTTCTCCTTCTCATAGATATTTTTGCAGTTTTATTCATTACCAGCTACTGGCAATTCATATAAGCTTTCTCCTTTAATGTTTTAAAATTACAGAAGGAATTTAGAAGCATACAAAGTGGGAGTCTATCTTCATCATTCCCACAGTCCTGTGCCCCTCAATCCCACTCCCAAGAGTTAAGGATTTTTACCAACTGTTAACAGTATGTCCCTCCCAGTTCCTGCCTACACATTTGCAAGTACGACTCTATCAACACTCTCTGTGGGGGAAGCAATGTCATGAACAACCCTGTGGAGAAGCCCAAGGGGAGAGGAATTGAAGCCTCCGGCCAGCAGCCATGTGAGTGAGTTTAGGAGCAGATCCTCCAGCCGTCACCAATCCTTCAGATGGGACGGCAGCCCTGGCTGACATCTTGACTGCAACTGTGTGACAGACTCTGAACCAGGACCACCTTGAGGAATTCCTGACCCTCAGAAACTGTGTGAGATAATAAATGTTTGTTGTTTCAAGTTGCTAAGTTTTGAAGTTATGGGTTATACAGCAATGTAATTAACACAACTTTCATTTCTCTCCAATTCCTGCATCATTGTTTAGTTCTCCTCGATAGCAAAGCCCTTCAAAAAAGTTGTCTCTGCTCATCGCCTTCTTTTCCTCCCCAGGCCTATTATCCCCCCAGTGCTATCTGTTCTAATATGTTAGCCAATAACTACTACCTGTGGGACTAGGACGGGATAGGGCAGTGCCACATTCTGATTAGCTGAAATGTTTTCATGTGAGGTACCTGTTGCAGATCCTGAGATGAGGGGTCACCTAAAAGGGATTTATTAGGGAAGAGCTCGTCAGAAAAGTTGGAAAGGGAGTGGGGAAAGCAGGACAGGGGAGAGGAAGAGGTGAAGCAAGAGTGAAATCTCAGGCAAAGTCCGAGTCTTAGACTGATCCTGATGGCTCTGGAGAAAATTACCCCTTAGTTTGTTCCACCTCGAGGCAAGAGAGCTAGGCTTTCATACTGCCATACTGGTTGGTCATTGTGTGGGCTACCCCAGGGGACATAAACTCCCAGACACTTCTGGCTGTCTGCATGTACAGAGAGAACAGCTCCAGTAAGGATCCGAGGGGAGCTGGGCAGAGTATAGTCAATATTTTCTCCTGCAGTGCTTCTTAAACTTCAATGTGCACTCAACTCATCAGGGGTTCTTGTGAAAATGCAAACTCTGGCTCAGTAAATTTGAGATGGGGCTGAAATTCTGCATTTGTAACAAGTTTCCAGGTGGTCCTCAAGCTTTGAGCACCATTCGTGGGAATTTAACGTTATGGGAACTGATCCTTCGGTGAAACAACATCATGCATGCTCTGGGTATCTACTGCTGTGTATCAAACCACCCCCAAACAGAGTGGTTTACAGCACAAAGTATTAATCTGAGAGTTGACTGGGCTTAGCTCAGTGGAGCTCACCGGGCATCTCTCAAGCAGTTGCAGTCAGAAGTTGGTTAGCGCTGTGTGGTTTTCTGTGCTGAATGTCCAGGAGGGCTCACTCACGCGGTTGGCAGCTGACACAAGGTGGTGTCAGGGAGCTCATGTGGGGCTACTGACTGTCACGCCTCCCTGTGGCCTCTCCATGTGGCTTGGGCTTCTCATAGCATGGTGGCTGTTCTAAAGTGTACCCTGGATTTGTTTTAATCAGGTATGGTAAGACATGCAGACATGGAAATGATTGACACGGAGGAAGACGTTTACACTCACAGATCCCTAGAAGCAGGAGGCACTGCGTGCCATGCAGGGCCACACAAGGAAGCACTGGGGTCATCAGGAGGCAGAAATCAGGGAGAGGAGAGCATGCTCCAGAGCCTTTATCAGGGTTTTTGCAGGAAGGCATGGGTGAGGCAGGGTAGGCACAGTGAGTAGGTTTAGGATTGGATAGTTTGAATAATCTTGGTAGGCTCTGGCTATGGGGGTGGTCCTTGGTTGTCTGGTACGTGGCCCTGGAGTGAGATAAGCCACAGGGGATATTGGCTTAGTGTGTAAGAATATGATAAAGGAGATGGTGGAAATGTGGGCTCTAGGTTTGTTGGTTTGTATATCAAGGGCCCACTCGTGAGGGAGGGTCTAGGAATGAACTAACCCTGGGAGGGGCATTCTCTCCAGATCAAGGCCTCAAATGCCAGAGCATTAAGAATACAGAAAAGAAGAAAATATAGTCAATAGCGCAGTTCTGAAAGGGACCCAAGAGAGAGCATTTCCAGAGGCAGGAGGAAGAAGCTACTAGGCCAGTTAAAAGCTATGCCCAGAACTGATGCAATATCCCTTTTGCTGTATTCTATTGGTTGAAGCAAATGTTGGATAACTTAGACACAAAGGGGAAATAAACTCAACCTCCTGATAGGGGTGTGGTAGGTTTACATCATAGAAGGACATGTGGGATGGGTGATATTGCTGTGGTCATCTTTGGAAAGTACCATCTGTCAGATGCCTATCTTAATCAATGTAAATATCTATCTGACAACAGCCAACTTGGTGGATTCTGCAGGTAAAATGCTCCCAAACAAAATATCTCAATGTATGAAGGCTCTGCATCCCCACCAATCTGAATAACAGGAAGTCCAATCCTTCCAAGCGTTTCCCTCCTCAGTATTTCTAAAGTTTCCAGTAACGCAGGAGTCAGCCTACAAACTACTTCTGGTTCTTGCTCCTTGCCGCCCCCTGCTGGTGAATCAGAAATTCAGACACTCCCCATCAGCCAGGACTCCAAACCACTGCTCCCATCCTCATCCCAGCCTACAGGTAACTCTAAGTCACAGGCTCAAATTCAAGCGCCATTAAGTCGAGCCCTTCCTAGGGGTTCAGCAATGAGACATCTATCTGGGGCTGCCCCAGTCCATTAGCTATGTTTTTCTATCCTCCTCTATTAAGAGTTATAATTTTCTTTCCCCCAGGGCAACATGTGGGTACAAACAGATACTAAAGACTCAGCTGAATTCTCCTGCCAGCAGCTTTCAGGCCCACCCCTGTAGAAACAGCTGTATTCGGTTACCTGAGTCGGATCAGCATGGCAACCCCAGCTTTTCCAGGTGGAAATAGGTGGGCAAGGCTTGAAGAAGAGAGGAAGGATGTGGTTGTCTCCTTTTCTCAAGGCATGTGGGAACCCAGCAACCACCCAATCAGAATGTCCTGTGACTTGAGAGTTTATAGTTTATAGAAGCTGCCCTCAGGCACCTGAAGCATGGGCATCTTTTCCTGTAAAGATCCATTCTTCCACTTTCTTGCTTTAGTTTGGGTCTCTTTTTCCTGTGGTCTGGTGAGGCCTTTGCAGCCCACTTCCAAGTGGAACAGCCCCTGCTAGGCTCTTCAGAAGGATCTCAGGGCAGCCTGGACAGGAAGGCCCAGGTGGTTCTGGGGAGGTCCCACAGCCAGAGTGACCACTAAAGCTGCTCACTCATCTTAGCCAGGCCTCGAACTGTGCTTCCCATGGAGTTCTGGCACTCATTCACAAGCGAAAAAGGTCTGACGTGGAAAAATACTGTTTGTTATTTACAACTTCCCACTGCCTTCTAAAGAAGATGGAACTCAAAGACTGTTGAGTGAGGTCATGGGAGGGAGACTCTAAAATTGGAAGCAAGACAAGGAAAAGTTAAACTTCTCTTCAGAAAGAGAGAAATATATGGGGGTGGGTGGCAGGAGTAGAGGCTGAAGCTTCCTGAAAGGGTCAAGGGGGAGGGGAATTGTGTGGCTGACGAGAAACTTTGCAGGGAGAGTGACATGTCTAATTGGAATTTCTGTTGAGTTTGCTGTGTGCTCTGCGATGTGACCCTCTACTGTGTCTTCCTTGTTGAAACTTCAGAACAAAATCAATTTCTTACTCTAATGTATTGTGTGGTGGATTTTCTTTGGAGGAACAAGGAGGAATGCTTGAGGGTTGGTGAGGGTGGGTCAGAGCCTTGCACTGCAAGAGCACCAGGCCCGGGTTCAGGGCTTCATGGAGCACTAGGTACCTCTACACTGTGTTCTCCAGTCTGACAACTCCCTTCTTTAAGGAAAAGAACATTTAAAATAGAGGGCACAACTGGAGCAAAAGGTGAGTTTGGAGAAAGATGAAGAGACTCGTGTGGTTGGGGAATGTGAGCGGGTAAGGAGCACAGAGGCAATAGGTGAGTTAGGGCTCTGGGTAGGACCTTGCTTACCTTCCACATCAAGGATTCTCCCAGATGTCCCACTCGTCAAAATCTAAGGGTACTCTCAATTAATCTCAGCACTCCATGTGTTACCGACTCGGGTACTTGGACTCTTTTAATCAGTAGAAATTGAGAAGAGGCCAGACGAGGATTCAGGCAAGGCTTTATTAGGACTCATGCTGCAGCATGAGGGAGTAAAAACAAGTAATCCTTGCTCATTCCCTGAGAAGGGCGGCTGGTTCCTTTACCGGGATGAGGGTGTGGGCAGATCGGTGGGTCGAGCTGGAGGGTGGCTTAGATGGTCTGCCCCTGCCCTTGGTGGTGCTGTGTGCAGAGATCATGCACAGTACTCAGCTTTTGCTCCCGGCTCCTCAGAAATGGTAGTTGCTTTGGCCTTTTTGTATCTTATTGTTCATAATTGCCCCGACTGCGCATGCGTGCCGCTGTGTTTAGTCTCTTATAGGTTCTTTGTATTCTGTTGCTCGAGTAGATGACATGTTTGTCCAGGTGCCAGCCTATCTCACTTGTGGCCCAGGCTTGATTCAGTATCACAATCAAAGTAACACAGTCCGTCTCCGTTGTGTGAGCCCTATTAGCTCTAATCATCCATTAGCTTCCTCCAAATGAAACACTTCAGTTCTACAGTGAGGGAGGCTCCCATGCTTGCTCTGTCCCTCCAGCTGGGGCAACCACCATGTTAGGACTTGGCCAAGGCATTGCACAACCCTAGGCTGCTTGAGAAAGTTTGTAAGGCATGTCCCAGTGGGAGATGAACTAGTACTGAGAGGCAGGGTCCTGTTGGCTGTAGGGAGGTGTTTCGGATACCCTTCTCCTCTCTGTATGTTACCAAAAAGGTCCCCAAAGAGTTTCCTGGCAAAGACATTTCACACTTTTTAATTACTTGGCGAGTGGCTTACAAATCCTTCTAAACGCCAACAGATTAGTCTGTGGAAATCCAAAACTTTAGAAAAAATTAATTGAAAGAGCTATTGAATTGAGGAGGCTTTGCCTGAGTAAATATTTTCTCTATGGAATTCTGATCTATTCATTTAGTAATCCTAATTATGGTTTTGCTAATTTGGGGGTAGTTTCAGAGAAAGTGCTTTATTCCATCAGGAGCCGGTCACTAGGTTAAGAGGATTTTGTTTTTCATTTGTGATGTTTCAAAGGAAATTCTTTCTTGAACGGCTTTAGCTATTCTTTGCTTACGTCTGCTGCTTTGCCGCTCAAGGTTGACAAGAAGATACCTCTGGCTTTTGTTAGTTGCCGTGGCTGGTCCCTTGTGTGCTGGCCACGTTCTCTCTCTACCAGCCCT